TTTTAACTCTTAGACACTCTCTGCTTTTTACAGCAAGAGCTGTCACTTCCCACTCAATTCTTCTGCCAAGACATCACTTTTCCTCTGCTGCAATCTGAACTGAGCCCTGTTCTGTCACAGTGATGTGATGCTCACTACCTGGGCCAGAGGTTTCATTCTGTACATCAGGTCACACTTTTAGAAGCATTATTAGCAGCCAGAAGAAACCATTCAAGGCTACTCCTTCAGAAGGGCTTTTCCCTTCTACAGCCTCCCCTCCATAATGATTTAGAAAGGGGTAAACTAAGGAGGAGTCTCTCACATCTCTTGTTCTTGGCTGGGTGTTGTGGGTGCTGCTGCTTGTCCCTTCTTTTTGGTTATTTGTCATACAATAGTAAAACACCCATCAGTTCTAAAGTTCTTTATGGTTCACACTCTTGTCACCCAAGCCACTACATTTCCTCCTATAAATCAGCTTTCTGTGCTTCATGCACAAGTCTGTCTTGTCATTGCCTTTGTCACATCTATTCATAACATCTTCTACTTCTCTTCCAAAAATGCTTCTATCTAGGAAAGCCAGATTCCTCCTCCTATCTTCACAGATATTTAGAGTATTACATGTTACAAGAGGCTTTCCAGCTCAACTAGCAACAATTTTACATATGTTTGTGTAATTCCTTATATACCTCAGGTCTCTCAGGTTTAACCCATACTGGATTAGAAAGCCTTAACCCCCATTTCCCCAAGGATGCCCTGTGTTTTACCTCTTTTGCACCTTTAGGTGAAAGCAGAGCTTGGCCACCTCCCCAACCAAAGTCCTGCTCTGAAATGGCATCAGGTGTAGTTACTCGGAACTCCTGCAAAATGAGAGCCACCATCCTCACACTTGGCACAGTAACCTACATTTGGGAACAGATGAAGTGCAAACTGCTCTTACTGCCTGGTTTTAGTGTCTTGCTCAAGTCAGGTTTCTGATGTGTGCTCCTGGAGCAAGCGTTGCTCTTCCCCTGCTCTCACCTCAGGTCAGCAAAAGCTCCTTTATTAATAACTGAATTTAAAAGCCAAATAAATTTAAGGCAAGTAAACATTCCTTCCCAAACAAAGAAAGAGCTGATTATCTGATGTCTTACCAATGCCTTCTGGTAAGATCCCAGGGTGATCCTGGGCTCGATTGTGATTTCTGTGCAATATTTTTTAGAGTGTGATGTTTGTTTACCTTGGGTGTTTGGGGTTTCTAGCCCAGGGCTGATGTTGCCAAGTGTTAAGGAAGGAGCGTGCCCCTGGGGAGAGCAGTGTGGAGCCAGGCAGGGCTGGATGCAGCAGGCACAGAGCCGGGTGCAGGGCCGAGCAGGGCCGGGCTCACAGCGAGCCCCAGCCCCAGCAGGGCAGGATGCCACAGCCACAGCGTGGGGAGTTGCCATGGGAACCCTGCTTTTCCCGGGCAAAGCTCACCGATGCACGCAGCCCAGCAGCTTGCTCACTGGAAATTACTGTTTTATCAAGAGCCTGGTAACTTGTGGGGGCGCTCCTTCAGAGGCTGTGGGAAGTGTTGTGAAATAAACTCTTTTTGGGGCGCTGCAATGACACCTGTGCCACAAAGGGCAGGTGTTGGCCAGAGAGAGAAGGGCAGGGGGATGGAGGGACCAAGGCCACCTGGCACCCCAGCCTTTAGAGCTGCTGCACAGCCATGAAAACACAGGGCAGCTGTTAAAGGAGAGAAGTCCTATGTAGAAAAATGTGCCATGCAAGTAAAATCTCATCTTAAATACATTGTGAATATTGTGCATTGATTGATCAATTATAGCAGACTTCAATTAAATCACTATTGTAAGTTCCTAAAACCCACAGGAGTTTTTTTTAATAGCCCACAATTTTAAAACCACCTGCAAGTTAAAAAACATACCTAGGTTGAAGCTTAGAATTGAGAATGGGGCATGAACAAGGTGAGTTTATTGTGGTATGATTATTTAATAAAAATTATTTTTAACTTCTGAAACTTTGAAAAGAAAATTTAACAGTTGAATAATGCAGGTACATGCTGCATACCCTTTCAGAATGACCAACAAAAAAGGTTAGAAATGCCATACCCATAGAACTTAGTTACCAAAATAGACTGAAATAAATAAACCAAAATCTGTGCATTCACAGTCAATTACTTCTCTACCTTAATAAACTCTTCAGAAATAAACATACATTTCTTAAACTAGAAATACTCTATTCTATTGAAGTCACAGGGTGAACATTGGATTCTGAAAAGACAATGGATCCAAAGGGCAAGACTCAAATTTCTCTGGGAAACATTTGCCATGTGAGCAGAGCATTTACAATTCTCTATGTGCAGGCTTTGGTATTTTCTTTTTTTTTCTTTCTTTCTTTTTTTAGAAGATAAAGAAGGGGGGAAGGGGAGAGTGCTGCTTCTGGTTTACAGGCTACAAGATGAGATTTGCAACATGCCATATTTTGTGTGGTCTAGCAAGCTACTACTGGTTCAGGGAGCAGAGTATTTGCAACTGTTTTCCTGGATGATAACACCCCCTGCAAGTGTTTTCTAACCAAATTGTATAGAAGGGTTGGAATCCAAATGTATAAATACTCAAATAACTATGTTAAAGCAGGTAAAAAATGCCAGAGGGAAAACAAACAACAAGAAATCACGTTTGAGGAAGAAAACCAACGAAACAAACAAAAGGCAAGGTGAGTGACGGAAGGTCCAACTGCTGTTTTTCTTGTGCAGCGAGGTGTTTTGTGAGGTTTACATCCCTGCAAGATAATGTTAAATTATAACCATATTTCAGCCATTCAAATCATTAACAAGTCGATTTAAACTATCTCCTACTGAGGACTTGAGCTGGGGTTAGAATACACAAGAAAGAAGAAGGAGCTTCACTGCTTGCTGTATTCTGGAAGTATTACTTAAATTATATTCAAGCCATCAGATAATTATGAACTTTCTTTTCCTTTATATTTATATGGAATATTTATTGAATTGCTTTTACAATAAAGTGCTTTTTACATTGGTTTCTTTGTTCATCCAAAATAAAACTGACAGTTATCCTTTTATAACCTATTCTGAGAACATTTTCCCTTCTTTGAAACTGATTGATGCACTACTTTAAATGTTCCTGCAAATATCGTTTCAATTCAAGTTTCTGCATAATGTAATAAGAAGATAAAAGAATTCTATACTTCAACAAGAGACATTACAAAGCAACTAAAGACATTATCAAGGGCATTAACAAGCTCCTAATAGCAATAAAACCTTTTAACTGTCTGATGTAGAACATGCTCCCACCAAACCACCACATATTATGGTAATTGGCTCCAATTTCTGAATCTTTCATTGTAAAGTTACAAAGAGTTAGGTAGAACTGAAAAATGAACCTGGAATTCACAGTTCAGTTTCTTATCTTCTTTTTGTTATTGTTATGATGGTGTTTTCTCTACAATACACAGAATCAGCATGAGTTCCAGCTGCAGCAGCATAATTTTATATTCTGCTCTGAGGTTCCTGAGTCTCCTCTTATGCTTGTTTCTCAATATTTAAAGGTATATGGTTTTAGTCCTTCCAACAGCTTATCATGTAAAGACTAGTAAAATGTGTGAATTAGTCACATTTTGGCAACCTCATTTGCTCATTCACTACAACACTGAAACGTCAGAAAATGAAATAGGACTTAACGTCAATGTTCTAATTTACCTTAGAAATAACCTGGGGTAAGTTGCTTACTTTTCTTTTTTGGATTCTCCTCTCAAAAACACAGAAGTTCAGGCTTCATCCAGGGTCCCATGAAAATAAATATAAAATTCAGTATACAATAAAAAATAATGCAGAACCTGCAGCAGAAAAGTGGAGAAGAGACATGAGGCTGTCTGGTGATTACCCTGCAGGGTAAAGCCACGTGTCCTGCTGACATGACTGTAGCACCCCACCACTGCTCTCAGGCTGGCAACCTGTTCACTGGAGAAGGGCAATCCAACTGGTATCTAGAACCATGGTCCAAAAAATAAGTTGTCATTTCTTGTCTCCAGAACTATCCTGGCTTAAAGGACAATATAAAGAAACAATATAATGCAAAAGAAATGTCAAGGAGGAAAAAAAAAAAAAATCAACCGACCGACCAAAAAATCTTACAATGTTTCCAACCTAAAGCTTGGTGTTCAGATAGCACAAAGCCTGCCAGGCTCCATTAAAATGACAGGCTTTGAGGGCAGATGTGCAAGGTTTAGAGAAGAAACACACACTGGAAACACCAAACAGGATAACTGGACTACACATGCCTCTCTCTCAGAAGAGGGAGGAACTACCTCATTTCTGAAGTTCTGGCTGATGGCCGGAAAGACAATCACTGGGACTTGACTGAGATCATAAAAGCACAGCATGCAATTTCTGCCTAGTCTGGAAAAGCAGTTCTACTATTTCCTGTAGCATTTAATGGCACAATCCTTTCATTACAGCGTAAATTAAAGCAATCTTTTATTATTTCCATTATCAAAGACTGCTTTAATTAGACTCACTTAAAGGTTTGCTAAGGTTTTTGACAACAGAGCACTATTAGTTACAAACATGCTTTCAGCATGATTACTGACAAACTCCTGAAACCAACTCAAAAGTAAAACAAAACCAGGACGAACAAACTCCTTTTCTCCCAAAACCCCGAGACTGTGGTCCTTCTACTGCAGCTGTTGTAAAAATTTGGGAGATTAAAACAAAACAAAATTAAAACAAAAACCAAACAAACAAAAAACCCAACACTTGAGAAGCAACAGACCAAGGACACCAATTATGAAGGTGAAACATTTTATCAAAGCATTTTAATTACCGTGACTTCGCTTTCAGAAAACACAAAATAGACTTTTTGCTTGACACCAGATTTTCTCCATAAATTGCAATGAAATCTGTAAAGTCTTGCCTTTGCTTATTCCAATCTATTGTATCTCTGGTGTAAACTCATTAGCTATTACAAGTAAGATATTAGCCTTGGGAAAACAAAAAATGCATTACTCAATGCCATATTACCTTACGTATTTCTGCATTGAAGGAACACCTAATGGGGTGGCCTCCATCCCAGATCAACCTTTCGAATAGTAGCATTGCTAGAAACGTTTTTAGGGCATTTTAGATTAATTCCAATGTTAAAGCAATACATTTCCAAATCATTATTTTACAGAAACCAAGCAGAAAGAAGCCAATAACTCCAGAGCCCGGGAAGAGGAATAAGCAGGCAGCACGACACTGTGTTTGGCACACAGCCAAGACGAAAATCGCGCTGATAGCGCCTCACGGAAGGGAGACGCGTGAGTTATCCCCTGCGAACACGCTCCTCTCTGATTAGCGCCAGGGCTCGGCGGCACCCGGCCCTTCCCAGCGCACCGGCGGACCGGGACCTAGAGTTTCAATCACCGCGCTTATGCCTTGGGGGGGGGGAAGAATTTACAAAAAAATTAAAATAATAATTTTTTAAAAAAATTTAAAAAAATATCCGGTGCGGCTCGGGGAATTAATTAATTACAGCCTGCATGTAAGGGGGGGGCGGGGGCGGCAGGGGAAATCCCGCACGCCTCAGGGAGTGAGGC